CTGAGTACCTCACGTAAGTAGAATCCCGCAGTACCTATCTCTTTGTGACTGGCTTCTTTCCCTTTGCATAATGTCCTCAAGGGGCATCCATGTAGTGGCATATTGCAAACTTTCCTTCCTTTTTAAGGCTGAATAATATTTAAGACTATTTTGTTTAACATGTTAAAGACTGTCTCAAACCAGTGGTTAATATTACATTTGAAGGTAAAATATTATAGACCTGTATCCAGATGTGGTCAGGATGCTTACTGTTTAATATTGTTCGCAGCTCCAGCCAATATAGCTCGCTAAGAAAAGGAAATAAATGGTGTAACTGTTGGGGGAAAAAAAAGTCTCTTATTTTAGCCAATAGTGTGCTTCTTTTCAGACTGCAAACCTATTTTGAAGTGAGAGTACATATATTTTAAAATTAGCTATTTTTACAACTCCATCTTTTCATTTGTGACCTAGATCCTATTCTTTTGCCTATTCAAGGACTTTTTCTTGCATATTTTCTTTTCATCGATTTTTTATTCTTCTGGATTCTCCCCAACAGCATATGTTATAGTATCTCCCACCTTTAAAATATCCTCTCTGACCTCATCTTACAAATATTCTCCCTCTGACCTCATCATGTGTTTCTCCAGCTACAATCCCATTCCTCTGCTCCCTTTATAGCCAGACTCTTAAAGAGAATTGTCTATAGTCCAACTCAGTCCCTTATCTGCCATTTTCTCTTTCTCTTTTTATAACCTTTCTTTTTAAAATTATTCTCCAGATATTTCACATGTTGGAAAGAGGACTCGAATTTGTTTGGGTCCAAGGCCCACTTCAGGTGTGTGTGCCAGGCAGAGCTGCACCCCATCCCCCATCTTCACTCTAGTCTGTCTTTGAGTTTCACCACTTCACTGACTCCTTCCCGACCCTGTTAAGGTCATATGCGACCTTAGTTGCCCATTCACTGGTCAGTTCTCATTTTATTCAACATCTCAGCAGGATGTGGCACAGTAGCCTACTCCAAAACATTTTCTTCAGCTGCCTTTTGGGATACCAGAGTCTCCTCGTTTTCATCCTATGACACTCGTCACTCCTTCTCAGTCTCCTGCATTGGTGGTCCCTGACTCTGCCCTGGGATCTCTTTTCTTCTGTGGCCATGGCCTCTCCTTGGATGACCTCATCCAGGCTTATGAACCCGAACAGCATCTAGGGACTGATGATCCTCGATTTATATTTCATGTCCTCCTTCCCCCACCAAGTCCAGATTTGTAAATCCAAATGGCTACTTGAAATCTCCACTTGCACATGTAATAGGCAGCTCAAACTTGACCTGCCCAATCTTGATTTTTCCCTCTCAAACTTCGTCCTCCTCCATTGTTCCTCATCTACGTTCATCAGACCTTGACACACTTTTGCTCAGTCCCCCAGACCACAATACATCCTTGATCTTTTTCTTTCCATCATCCTTTGACATTCAATTTGTCAATCTACTCTATTGACTGTCTTCAAAATATATCATGTCCTCACTGTCTCTGCTGCTACAACCCAAGCCCTCGCCACTGCTCTCAACTCTAGCCTGAGCTGTTTTCAGTAGCCTCACCAGTTGGTGTCTTACCTTCCACTGTCTTCCTCTGCAGTGTGTTCCTTCACAGAAGCCAAAGTGACCTTTTAAAATGTAAATCAGGTCATACCACTCCCCTGCTAAACTATTATCATGTATAATAAAAGCCTAATATGCTAAGTGTCCGGTCAGCCATTCAGCCAATCAAAGTGGAATATGCTAATGATATGCTAAGGCTGCTCAACCACTTGCTTGAAATCAACTAAAAGTGGTTTTATTCCAGAGTCCATAATGCTAACCAAGACAACTAGAAATTTCTAATCAACTTTGGGCTTAGATTAAATCAGAGTAGCAGCCAGGGGGCAGACGCTAAATGCAGGAGCTGCCCCCTGGTGGTTAGTGCACTCCCACTGGGGGAACGCCCGCTCAGCCAACTGCTGGGCTCACGGCTGGCCCCCTGCGGGCCTAAGCCAGCAGCCGGACATCCCCTGAGGGCTCCCAAACTGCGAGAGGGTGCAGGCCGGGCTGAGGGATCCGCCCCCTCCCTAGTTCACGAATTTTGTGCACCGGGCCTCTAGTACTTAGAATAAAATTCTATTATTTTTACCCATCTAAAGGGCCTTAAAGTCCTGGTCCACGATTGACCTTCTGACCTGCCTTCCCTGACTGTTTGGCTCCGTCCACTCCAGCCTGCCCTACTCAGCCTCCTTGCCACCACACAGCTTCCCTGGGCCGCAGCTGGCTTTCCTTGATGTGCACACAGCTGGCTCATTATTAGGGTCTTGTGCTCAACTGTCATTTCTTCAAAGATGACTCCTCAGATAACTCTAAGATATGTACCACTAGCCCCAGTCTGCTTTGTTTTCACCCTGCTTTGTTTAACTTCTATCAATTACCAGTGTCTGAAATTATTTTTCTATTCATATTCTTGTCTTTCCCACTCAAATGGAAGCTCTGCAAGGGGAGTGGCTTCTTATGCCTTGTTCTTTCTTGTATCCCTTGTGCTTAGAACAGAATTGGCACGTAGTAGGTGCTCAGTTAATAACTGTTGAATAAAGTTCAGCACTTACCAGTTATAAAACACACTGTGGGGGTGGGGGTAATCTGTTTACAACAGTGATATATAGATAGATAGATAGATAGATAGATAGATAGATAGATAGATAATTATCAATAAGTAAAAAATAAGCAACAAACATGAGGTATCATTTTTTCCCTATTCAGTGGGGAAAACTAATGTTGGTGAGAGTGCTAGGAAATGGGTACTGTCATTTGCCACTGGTGGAAATATAAAATTGTCTAAGCTTTCATAAGTGATGAGTCATGGATGATGTTTATCTCAACTTTCATGCATCATGAACTTATGTCTCCCATTTTTTCCAATAATTACCCCCCCATAATTACTTTTTAAGCCAGAAAAATCCAATCATCTTAATCTTTTCCCCCCTCTTTAAAATAAAACTTTTGTGAAGTTGATCCCAGCAGCGGATGGCCTTGTTTTTCTGTTGCCTCTTAAGAATAGTTCATCTGACTCCTGTCCCAGCTTCCCTGAGATCATGCGATGCCTGTCATTGAGAACTGTGTGCAGAGTCACTCTTGTTCTGCGGCCCTGGGCTGGCTTGGGGAGCCCATCGCACATGTGGGGCTGGGGGAAAACATGCAGGCGTGGCCCACCCAGTCTGGGGGGGGTGGGGGTCCCACAGCCTTTCCCGCCAAGACCCAGGTCTCCACCGACAGGGAAGCCTAGCATTCCTGGGCAGATCCCCTGCCCCACCCAGCGCCCTCGCCGCCTGGGATGGAATTAGAAACAATAATAACCTGTCATTGAGAACTGTGTGCAGAGTCACTCTTGTTCTGCGGCCCTGTTCTGGGCTGGCTTGGGGAGCCCATCGGACATGTGGGGCTGGGGAAAAACATGCAGGTGTGGCCCACCCAGTCTGGGGGGGATCCCATAACCCTCCCCACCAAGACCCAGGTCTCCACAGACAGGGAAGCCTAACATTCCTGGGCAGATCCCCTGCCCCACCCAGCACCCCCGCCGCCTGGGATGGAATTAGAAACAATAATAATCACAGCTGGACCTCTGATGCCCATTTCCTTAGCCACGCTCGGGCCCTGCTCTGCCCATGCCTGGTGGACAGCCTCCTGCCCGGGCCCAGTCCTGGAAGGGAAGTTCGCAGCTGAATCCCCAATGGGCCATTCTTGTTTCCCCTGGTTTCTGTCTTTCCTGGAGGTTCATTGGTAGCTGGGCATTTCACTTAATTCTGTTGCTTTCTGGGCTCGGCAGTTACGTTCCCGAGCACCCCGTGGCTCACCTGGACAGTGTTCACCCAGACGGCTGAGAGCAAAGCCCGCACATACTCGGCTCCTATATGTTGCATTCACATTTCCTCAGCCTCGTCCACTTAGAATCTGGCCTCTGAGAGTGTGCACAGTGAGCCTCAAGACCTGCCAACCATTGTGGATTGTTTACAGTGTCATCAAGAGTTAAGGGTTGAGCCTTAGCCGGTTGCTCAGTGGTTAGAGTGCCAACCCTCGGACTGAAGGATCATGGGTTGGATTCCGGTCAAGGGCATGTACCTCGGTGTCAGGCTCAATCCCCGGCCCGGTCAGGGTTCATGCAGGAAGCAACCAATTGATGTATCTCTCTCACATCGATGTTTCTCTCTCTCCTAACTCTACTCCTCCCTTCCACTCTCTAAAAATCAATAGGGAAAACATATCCTCGGGTGAGGATTAACAAAGCAAGCTAACTAACTAAAAAGAAGCTGAGGGTTGGGGCTGGCTCAGGATATAGCTTCCCTAGTGTTTGCTGGCGGAAGGGCACACACGCATATACAATAAAAAGCCTCCCTTTTTGCCTTAACCACTTGTTCTGGTTGTGTTCAAGAAGCATAATCCACCCTAGCCAGTTTGTCTCAGTGGATAGAGCGTCGGCCTGCAGACTTGAAAGGTCTGGGATTTGATTCTGGTCAAGATCACATACCTGGGTTGCGGGCTCGATGTGGGGGGGTGCAGGAAGCAGCCAATCAATGATTCTCTCTCATCATTGATGTTTCTATCTCTCCCTCTCTCTTCCTCTCTGAAATCAATAAAAAAAATATTTTTAAAAAATGTGCATAATCCATCTTCATCTTTATACTTGTTAGGGAAAAGGCCTGGGGGAGAGGTAGGAGAGAAGAATTCTCCTAGAATAAGTGTCATCTGTCCCTCGTCGGCCTCTGCTGTGGCTTGAGCCTGGACTCAGAGACTCGGGGTCCCTGCATTGTCACAGGCTGCAGGGCAAGGGGGCTGCAGTCTCCCCTGTCCATTTGCCCAGCCAGCCCTGCTCTCCTTCAGTTACTCATTTATCTGCACTTTCGTGTCTCCAGGCCACCCATCCCTCCTGCCTGAGGGGTTCAAAAGAACCCTGAAATTAATCTAGCTTGGACTTAACCACCTTCTTTAACTTTTTTTCTTACAGCTTAAACTTTGGAACAAATACCGAATTTCCAACATTCCATCACTGATATTCCTAGATGCCACCACCGGGAAGGTTGTGTGCAGGAATGGGCTGCTGGTGATCCGTGATGACCCAGAAGGTGAGTCCTTGGCCTGTCCGTGCCGTACCCACCTCTGATCCTCTACCCTGACCTCCTTCCATTGCTGGAGATTATGCAAATGAAATACAGTTGACCCTTCAACCCACATGAGGGTTAGGGGCGCCAACCCCCACGCATTGGAAAAATCCATGTATAACTTTGACTCCCCCCCAAACTTAACTACTAATAGCCTACTGTTAACCGAGAGCCTTACTGATAACATAAGCCATCAGTTAACACATATTTTCTATGTCATATGTAGTATAAACTGTATTCGTACAATGAAGTAAGCTAGAGAAAATAAAACGACATTAAGAAAATCATAAAGAGCCCGGCCGGCGTGGCTCAGTGGTTGAGCATCGACCTGTGAACCGGGAGGTCATGGTTCCATTCCTGGTCAGGTCACACGCTCAGGTTGTAGGCTCCATCCCCAATGGGGAGTGTGCAGGAGGCAGCTGATCAATGATTCTCTATCATCACTGATGTTTCTCTCTCTTTCTGCCTCCCCTTGCCTCTCTGAAATCAATTAAAATATATTTTAAAAAAATAAAAAGAAAATCATAAAGAAAAGGGAAAAAAATCATAAGGAACAGAAATAAAATTTACAGTACTGTGTGTTTTTATCAATACTGTAGGTTACATCATCAGTCTTAGGCTATGTGGTTTATCTGTGAGTTTTCTCAAATTGCTGGTTAAAAAAAAAAAAAAAATCCGCGCATAATGGACCCAGGCAGTTCACTCAAGTTTTTCAGGGGTCAATTGTATATGTAAGTGGGTTTACTTGGCTAAAGAATATTTGTCTTGATGTAATTATGGTTTTCTCCAGGTCATGGTTAAGGTTTTAAGGGATCAGAATGTCCCTCCTGGGAGCTTTAATTCCCGGGCGAAGGAGACGGAGCTGCGGAAGGGAGGCAGCTTTGAGGGCGGAGGAGCCGTTGAGCAGCAGCTAGCGCTCCGGTGCTCACTGTCAGCGCAGCTCCCCTGGCGAAGTCGCAGGCTCTGTGTCCCCCCGCCTCGCTGGCCAGTGCGCCTCACTTCCTGTGCAGGCCTGGGTCTGCCGGCCGGCTGGCTGGCCACGCACTGGGCAGGTTGCCCTGATGAGGGTGCTCAGTGCTGTCCAACATCGGTTTCTCTCCCCTTTGCACTGGAGTCATAAGCTCGTCCTCCCTCACTTACTGATCCAACTAGACGATTCAAGCCTGGTCACACATTTTCCCAGTTAAAATTGCACCTGCCTCAGAGAATCGCCCTCAGTAAAAACCAGGGCATCATAGAACCAAGATTTTACCTTCTCAAATTTAAACACACACACACACACACACACACACACTACTCTGAAGCTTGTTAAAATGTCGGTCTCCCCCCTTTTCTCCGCCCCCTCAAGATTTTTGGATCCATTTGTTCAGGGTGGGCTCCGCCACCTGCGTTTTCAGCCAGTCTGTGCCTCTCCCTCCCAGCCTCCCCTCACCCCAGGCGGTTTTGAGGCCGTGGTCCAGGGACCACCCTGTGAGAAAACACTGTCTGTTGAGCTGGGAGCATAGTATTTGCGCTTCCTGCCTGGGGCTTAAGTGTCATCAGAATGCAGACCATCTGGGTTGAGTGGGTTTGACTCTTTCCTTTCCCTAGACATAAATTGTTATCTCACTTGGTTCCCTGGGCCCCAACTCAAACATTCTGGGGGCGGGGCCCTGGAGCATCACATTTTAAAAATTCCCCGTGGATTCTGAGTTGCAATCAGAGTTGAGATGCCCTGGATCCCAGGGTTGGAATAGGAGAAACTCATGGCTAATATCTGAGGCAGCTTCCCCAGCCTGGCTCACCACCAGTCCCCCAGGGAGTCGGTTTTGCTGTTTGGGGACGTACAGCTTCAGCCCTAGATCCTGGGATTTGGGGTATGGCCTGGGCTTCTGTATTCTTCAAAACACCTATGGTCATGCAAGGTTGGAAACCATTGCCTTGAGGGTAGGTAGGACTCTGTCAGGGGTGAGACCCGCTTTTATTCCTGTGTTGTAGCCTCAGGTCCTACGGGTGTTGGATGATACAGTTGCCGTGCTCTGCAGCCCCGAGGCCTCTGGGGTCAGAGGCCACACGGAAGAGTCTTAACCTTCTCCCATCTGTTGCCTGTTTCAGGTTTGGAATTCCCTTGGGGACCTAAGCCCTTCAGGGAAGTCATTGCAGGGCCCTTGCTTAGAAATAATGGGCAGTCCCTGGAGAGCAGCAGCCTGGAGGGGTCTCACGTGGGCGTCTATTTCTCCGCACACTGGGTGAGTGTTTGCTCCTCTTCAGCCCGGACAGAACGAAGCAGGGAGATCCCACCACAACCAGCTGTGATGGGCTCCCGGCGGTGTGACTGCCGGGGCGTAATTCCCTGGCGTCCTTCCTTTCCCCTGTGCCCAGTGCATTGTGGTTGGCGTGCAATAGGTGCTTATTATTATGAATGATAATAGCAGCCAGAAAATGACTTCTTTTGACTGGTCTAAGCAGACAGCTTTCTTAGGCCATTCTGGTGAGCTTCTCATGGTCCCTGCGGGGGTTTGACTGCTGCCTGCCGGCCGGCTGGGCAGAGCAGGAGGAGCCTGTGCTGGATGCGGCCATCATGCTTGTTTCTGCCTCTTATGGACCAGGTCCCGCCAGCCCAGCTCTGCGTGGGCCCTGCTGGCCTCCCGGTGACGGCAGGTGGCTGGGAAAGGGGACGCTGGAGGTGCAAAGTCACGCCCAGGATCCTGCTCTTGTCTTTCAGTGCCCCCCTTGCCGAAGCCTCACCCGGGTCCTGGTGGAATCCTACCGGAAGATCAAGGAGGCAGGCCAGAAATTCGAGATCATCTTTGTTAGTGCAGACAGGTAAGGTGGTGCGCGGGAGCCGGTGAACGTGCCTTTGTCTCACTTCTCACTTCTCACTTCTGTGAGGTAGAGCTTGGAGACTGGGACTGGGGAAAGCGTAGCCGGGATTATTGGCAGCGGGACGGATGCATGTCCCCTGTGCTCTGGGAATTGTCTGAAGGGAAGCCGAGAAAGCCGTGTTCTTGCTGTAAATATGTCGGTAGGTCCTGATTCAGGCTGGGGCCATTTGAGATTAGGGTGCATTTTCCTGATTTGGTCAGCTTTTTGGATTGCGGTGAAAGGATATGGAGGTGGGGGTGTGGGGGAGGAGAATGGAAAGAAAAGAGCAGACGCTAATGGATTGTGGTGCCTGTCTTAGCTGGCTGTGCAGTCACCTTCCTTAGCTCCAGCCATGAACTTTGTCTGGGGTGTCATACCAGACTACGTCCTGGACTACGTCGGGCCCTTTTAGCCTCAGTTTCCTCTGCCTCTTGCCCTCTCCCCGGCTTTATTCATCAGTGACCGTCCTGCATCACAAAACTCTGCCCCAGTTTAGACCGAGCCGCCAGGTGCTTCTGCCTTTGAGCGCCTGCTCACAGAGGCTCTCTGAGAGCCAGCACACGGAGAGCGTGCTGTACGCTGAGGTAGCCTTGGCGTCCGTGCTGTTTCATGCTGCGGTCCCTCCCCCAGCGCCCTGGCTTCCATCTCAGTGCCTGTGAGTGGGGACAAGCTTGAAGCATGCCAGGTGGAGTAATAACGTGTCTAAAGCTTTTTAAAAAATCAACTTCATTGCAGTATAATTGACATACAATGAAGTGCAGACATTTTAAGTACACAGTTCAATGCATTCTGACAAATGTGCATACCATGTAAGCATCACAATTACAATAGAGCATTTCCAGCACTCAGAAGACTTCCCATGCCTCTCCTCGGTCAGTTCTCACCCCCAACCCCCCATTTCAAGGGACCCCTAATCTGCTTTCTTGGCTGTTGCTTGATTAGATTGGTCATTCCTGGAATTTCTTGCATGTGGAATCATAGTGTCTATGATTGCTTAAAAGTGTGGTCCTGTACACACCACTCTTACTATACAAAATAGAAATGTCACAGGAAATGCAGTGTCTGAACATCTGGGCTTCTTATAAAAAAGTGTTAAGACCCATCTGTGTTGAACATGAAAAGTTGGGCTGAGTGCAGTGGCTCAGTGGTTGAGCATCCACCTATGAACCAGGAGGTCACGATTCGATTCCCGGTCAGGGCACATGCCCAAGTTGCAGGCTCGATCCCCTCTGTGGGGCATCCAGAGGGCAGCCAATCAATGATTCTCTCTCATTATTGATGTTTCGATCTCTCTCTCTCTCCCTTCCTCTCTGAAATCAATAAAAAAAATATACTTTGAAAAAGGAAAGAAAAGTTGGGCATGAGTTAAACTAGGGGGATGCAGGGGAGCAGGCTGTAGAGATGGCCTGGTGTTGTGGTTTGCATCCACCAGCCCTACGGAGGCATTTGCTTCCCAGCGTACAGAGCAGACGGAATGACCCCTCTGTGTCTGAACACGATCAGACGCCTCTGCATCTGCAGAGCCCTGGGCACGGCTGGGTGGAAGGTGGGGAGGACCCAGCGGTGGTGCACTCGGGGGTCATAGAGCCGTGTTTCCATGTGTGTCTCTGTAGGTCAGAGGACTCCTTCAAACAGTACTTCAGTGAGATGCCCTGGCTCGCCGTCCCCTACACCGACGAGGCCCGGCGGTCACGCCTCAACCGGCTGTATGGAATCCAAGGTAGGCATTCCCACGCCACGGCGCTTCCTGGACCGGCTCATCCGGCTCACCACGTCTTTGGCTTTGCTTTCAGAGGGAAAAGACCTTTTTATTTCCGTGGATGCGCACTTGCTTTACCAGCTTCAAAATGACATGTGGTGAATTTGACATTACGTGGGTTATACTGTTTTTTAAGCACAGTATTTTCACAGGGGAGGCAGCTACTCCTCCCCCTCACCAGCTCCCCAGTGACTTGGCCAAAACCTCATCCCCTGGGTTTTACTCTCAGACAGACCTGAGAGTAGTCTGGTTCCATCACTCAGATGCTTTGAGCCTCAGTTTCCTCATCTGCAAAACGGGTGTGCTACATCGCTGCCACAAGACCTGCTGGGAACACTTACAGGAGAATGTATGTATATACAGCACTTCCCATGATTCCTGTAGCGTAATGGTGAGGGCTGCGTTCCGTGGATGCGCACTTGCTTTACCAGCTTCAAAATGACATGTGGTGAATTTGACATTACGTGGGTTATACTGTTTTTTAAGCACAGTATTTTCACAGGGGAGGCAGCTACTCCTCCCCCTCACCAGCTCCCCAGTGACTTGGCCAAAACCTCATCCCCTGGGTTTTACTCTCAGACAGACCTGAGAGTAGTCTGGTTCCATCACTCAGATGCTTTGAACCTCAGTTTCCTCATCTGCAAAATGGGTGTGCTACATCGCTGCCACAAGACTTGCTGGGAACACTTACAGGAGAATGTATATAAAGCACTTCTCATGATTCCTGTAGCGTAATGGTGAGGGCTGCGTGGGTATTACTTTTAGGTGAGACAGTTGGTTTCCTGAGAGTGTAGCAAACTAGGACTTGGAGTATTGATCATGTTTTTCAGAAACAATGATCATTCGAGAGGCAAACGGGGTGTTTGTTCTTTACTGTGTGAATACCTCCGTCCAGCCTGCACACGGCCAGGCGTTTTCTTGGCAAAGCACTTAACTAGCCTGTAAAGAGTTAAACTCACTCTCTTTGTATCAGCAGTGCCAGAGCCTGGTCGACCCTCGGTGGGTACAGCTAATGTTTGCGTTCTCAGTGCCCCTTGTGTTACATGGGGAATGGGAAAAATTAAGATTTTCCTCCAAATCCCACAGCTTATGGGGGAACTCATCTGATCCTTCAATCTTTTTCTTCACCATTTACAGTAAGCATGTATGACTTTGTTTGGAGCTAAAGTTTCAAAAAATACTTTATTTTAAATCGGCGCTTCTCAATTTCAAATGTGCATAAGAATTGCCTGGGTTTTGTCCTTTACTGTGTGAATACCTCCATCCACCCTGCACACAGCCAGGTCTTTTCTAGCCTGTGAAGAGTTAAACTCATTCTCTTTGTATCAGCAGTGCCAGAGCCTGGTCGACCCTCGGTGGGTACAGCTAATGTTTGCGTTCTCAGTGCCCCTTGTGTTACATGGGGAATGGGAAAAATTAAGATTTTCCTCCAAATCCCACAGCTTATGGGGGAACTCATCTGATCCCTCCGCATGCGCCCCCACCAGGGATTGAACCCGCAATTTAGGCATGTGCCCTGATTGGGAATGAAACTCGCAACCTTTGGGTACATGAGACGATGCTCCAACCAACTGAGTCAACCGGCCAGAGCTACGTCTATTAATTTTTTGAGAATGTTGGGGGCTCATACCTCCTATTAATAAAAAAGATGAGAGCAGTTCCCTTTCCAAAGAGAAGTCGAGTGACATGACTTTGTTCACTGGTCTAGAAGGAAAAGCACCAAGTTGCTTGGGGAGCTTAAAGGAGACGTCACAGGCTTGTTTCCTCCCAGTGCTCTGCCTGCAGAGAGACTGAAAGCTCAGGTGTGCTCTGGTGGGCAGCAGAGGGTGGAATTGCTACTTCCTGGGGATAAGTAAAACTTCATCTCTTCATTCATTCATTCATTCATTCATTCAACAAATACTTGCTGAATGACTTTGAGCAAGTTACTTAACCTCTTTTATCAGTAAAATTTGGAAGTTTCAATGTTTGGCACAGAGTCGGCACTTAATAAGTATTTAGCTGACCAGCTCAGGAAAAAAAGGGAAAATTAGATTTTACAACCTAAAAAAGATAAACTGTTGGTATCAAAAACCTTAAACAGCCCTGGCTGGTTTGGCTCAGTGGATAGAGCATCGGCCTACAGACCAAAGGGTCCCAGGTTCGATTCTGGCCAACAGCACATCCGGTTGCAGGCTCGATCCCCAGTGGGGGGGCATGTAGGAGGTAGCCAATCAATGATTCTCATCATTGATGTTTCTGTTTCTCTCTCCCTCCCCCTTCCTCTCTGAAAATAAAAACATAGTTTTTAAAAAAGCTTAAACAAAGCCAACCAACAATATTAATAGCATGCTGGCAAAGAGTCAATATCCTTCATAGAAAAAGAGCTTTTTCCAGATACCAGTCCAAAAGAGAGAGAAAAGACAATATAGCCCTGGCCAGTTGCTCAGTGGTTAGAGCATAAGCCTGCAGGCGAAAGGGTCAAGGGTTCTATTTCCCATCAAGAGCACAGACCTCGGTTGTAGGTTCGACCCCCAACCCCAGTTGGGAAGATGTAGGAGGCAACCAATTGATATGTCTCTTCCATATTGATGTTTCTCTCTCTCTCTCTCTCCCTTCCACTCTCTAAAAAAAACAAAAAAAACCACACAAAAATCAATGGAAAAAATATCCTTGGGTGAGGATTAAAAGATAGACAATAAAGATACAAGGTAGGCAATTTGTCCTATGTATAGTGTCAGAATGGATATCAAAAATATTCAGCATAATTTACTTTCATGAATTATGGATGAAAACACTGAATTTGTATATATATATCACATTTGCAAAAAATTCCCACCACCACAACCAAAAAAAAAAAAATCCCCAGTGTAGGTAAGAGAGCAGACTGCTGGGAATGTAAATAGGACAACCTTTCAAGAGAGTAGTTGGCAGTACACATCAGAGGCCTTTAAAAAATCTATAAGGCCTTTCATTAAAAATCCCACTTGTAGGAATTTATGCCCAGGAAATTATCCCAGAGCACCCAGCAAAGACTGAGCTTGTCTTGAGCAGTTGGTGGATTTCTGGTTTTTTGGTTATTTCTCTCATATTTGCATACTTGGAATTTCATTACGGACCATGATTCTTTCTTTGCTTCAGCCCCTAGAAAACCCAGAGCTATATTTGTCACCACTTCAGTGATTTTGCAAAACTGACCGTTTCTGTGCGTGTCCTTGACCCTAGCTTCGTTTCCTCTTCCTTTCTTGTGTTCCCTTCAGGGGTATATTTTCATCTGTTTTTATTAGATTATATCATGCAATTTTTAAGACACCTCAGATCCTTTTTGGAAAAAAAGATGGAGTAGATTTAAACACATAGGATCCTATTTCTCAAGCGCCAGCTAGCCACCGGGACTGAGCTCAGTGGGAAATAAGAAACCAGAGGGGGGCCCAGTGCTGCCCTTGGGTGGACGAGATGGGCCTTACATTGGGAAATGACCGAAGAGCAGAGAGCACAATGATGTAAAAAGTGTTGATCAAATAAGTGCCCCTTTGTACGGCAGCTTGGAAGAGAATGGAGACTTTTCAGAGACGCATCCATTCCGCACAGTCTCTTAAGGCCCTGGCAGTGTGGGGATGGGAAGTGCATTGGTGGCACTGCCCCAGAGAGTGGAGCTGGGCGCTGGGCCTCACTGAGCCACTCTGCGCCGCCTGGAGGCCTCCCCACATTTCCAGTCATGAGCCATCGGGGGTAGGATCTCTCTCCACCATAGGGAGTTCAGTTGCCCTTTCCTAGGCCTGGGGTCCAGCATGACGCAGTCACCGGAAGTGAAGACGGTGCCTAAGGATGGTCTGTATGTAACGCACAGCCTGTTTGCGGCTGGCCGTCTGCCCTCCCTGTGCGCTGTGAGATGCTGCTAAGGACCCTTTGGGGTGTGTG